AAAAAAAAAAAAGAAAAGAAGGGGCTCTGTTCCTACATGGCTAGAACCATAATATGCAATGTATCTGTAATTTGTAACATACATTATTGCAATGATAATAAACTCTCAGCCTTGTTTTTCAAAGTCCACTTTATTTTGGTAAATTCCCTAAATTGTACTTTTAGGTATTTTCATTATATGAAATCTAGCATCTGTCAGATGATTTAATCTATTTAAGTGCTGAACTCCTAGCAAACCTCTTGAACATTTTACAGTAATTCAGAATTAGCAAGGAAAACAGTTCACCAGTGTTTAGTTTTATTTTGAGGTGCTCAGGTTGGAATAATAGTCGTATAAAAAACAAACAAAGAAATTTTAATAATGTAGTAACATAGTTTTTCTTTTTTCTTGAGATCCTCTAAATGAAGAGAGCAAAATTATACAAGTTTTTTATTCAAAATTAACAATAGTAAATAAATACACAGGAAGTTTCTGTTCTGCTTGAATTGACACCATGCCAACAGCATGTTCTGTGGGAAGTTGGAGTTGCAGAAAAAGGAGACCTTCAGTGTGATAAGCCCCTCGAAATACCAAAATACCAGAGACAACTCCATATTTGTACAACCATGAACCTGATGGAGCTCAGGCAAAGACCCCACAAGGAAGCAGTGATGTCTGGGTTCCAGGGGGAAAACCCTGACAGGTGGGACAGGTGGGGGGTGGAAGGAGGGATGGAGAGCTGCTGAGCTGGAGGGGGGAGGGGCTGCGCTTGGCTCTTTCTTGTCACCCCTCCCCCACACTCAGTAGCTCTTTGTGATGAAATTAGAGCTCTGTGATGCAGCTCTGACCCCACTCCAGGTTGCTTAGGGAAGCCTCAGAGCTCAGGTGGCTGAGAATGACAGTACACATCAGGCGATGGAGATGTTTCTCTTTCTTCTGATAAGCACTTAAATGCTTACCAGGTTCCACTACCTGGGCAACAAATGTCATCCTTGCCTTTGGCTGTGGATTGGTGCATTTGATCCTATCAATCCCTTGTTTTCAGCCTAATCCAACTTCCCCAAAACATGGGGAAAAGAAGAGGAGAATATCAGAAAGGTAAAGAACTCTTGGGCAAATTACAACAGAGAATGATTCTGTTTTTATCACTTTTCTTTCCACTTTTGCAAATCAACAGAGACACTTAAAAATGGAGAAATCTCAGGAAAGATTAGAACATTCTTCTGTTGGGACAGGTCACAGGGCATGGGTGAGGGTGGGCACTAGGACACCTGTCTGAGACTCCCAGCTCATCCGTGTGGTATGCTGGAGGTGCTGGTGTGGAATCAAACACCGTGACTCTGGCTGAGGACTGGATTCTCAAGAGAGTTGGGACTTCTGGGAAAGGACAGGCCTTAAGTACTGGTACATCAGATATGGAAAGGTGTCTCTGGGCCTAGCCTCTCCTCTGTGCTGAGCTAATCTGAGTTCTGTGCTGGGTCCCAAAGTATAGTGCTGTTAAATAAGATTGTTCCATCTTAACAGCAGCCACAACTTGTTTTATGCCACTCTTCCCTTTAGCTTCCATTTCATTTAATTTCTTTCCTTGATCAACTTCCCTAAGAGAGCCATCCATATTATCAGGCTCCATTTCCTTGCCTCGTATTCTTTCAATTTTAATTTTTATTAGTACATGTTTGCGGTACATAAAGATTATATTCATTGTGGGGAGTTGGTACATAACATACCTTAATTCTTTTTTGTCCCCTTTTTTACCGCCCCCCTTCATCTCTACATCCTCTTCCCATTTGAAAAGTCCTATCTCCCTAGTGTTGGCAATAAGCCCCCAGACTCAAATTGTCGGTGTAGATAATAAAGCACTTAGACATCAGGAAATCTCAGTAAGGCATTTTACTTTTGCAAAAGGGTCCAAGCATGAGGTAGCAGGCTTACAGGACAAAAGAGGGTTGCCTCTTTTATCCCTAATGCAGGTGGAGCAGCTGGTTTGAATCAATCCTAATTGGCTAACTCAGCTCAAGGGGAATCTGAGGGTTTGCTGAGGGAAAGGGAGGGCAGAGAGGAAGTATGCAGAGACCAGAAAATTCTTGGCTGCTGATCAGCTATCTTTGGTTTGTAGCTGTTTCCAGGATTGGAACTGAGCAGGCATTTTCTGTAACTTAGTGTGTTCAGGAAGGACTATCTAGGGTGGGCTAGAGTCTAAGATGGAGTCACTCCTGTTTGATAGAAGAGACAGAGCTTATTGTTTCCTGCACTATTTCCTATTATCTATCTTTTATTTGCTCTTTATTTATATTTTGGGTTTCTAATATAAGAGAAACCATGTGATATTTAAACTTGTGTGTCTGATTTATTTCACTTAACTCTATAGTCTAAGGTGGATCCATTTTCCTACAAATGACTCATTACCAATCTTTACAGCAGAGTAGTACTTCATTGTGTATAAATACCACATTTTCTTAATCCATTCATCTTTGGTGGATAATAGGCCACTGCCAAGAGTTAGCTATTATGAGTTGTGCTGTTATAAAACTGGGTATGCATCTATTACTGAAATATGATGTCTTTTACTCTTTCAGGAAAATACCTAGAAGGGAAATGGCTGGGTCAAATGGATTTTCTATATTTAGGTTTTTGAGGAATCTTCATACTGATTTACATAATGGTTGTATTAGTTTTACATTCCCACCAACAATGTAGAAGGGTTCCTTTTCCCCCATAGCATCACCAGCATTTGTTATTATTTGATTTCTTGATGATAGTCATTCTTTTTTTTTTTTGGTACCAGGGATCGAACTCGGGTCCTTGCACTTGCGTAGCACGCGGCGAAACCACTGAGCTAAATCCCCGGCCCAATAGCCATTCTTTTTGGAGTAACGTAGAATCTCAGTGTTGTTTTAATTTGCGTTTCTCTAATGGCCAGATAAGTTGAACATTTTTTCATGTATTTTTGGCCATTTGTACTTCTGTGGAATGTCTATTCATTTAAGTTGCCCGTTTTTGGATTGGGTCTCTTATTTTGAGGGGTCTAATTTTTTATATGTATTTTTTATAAAGTTAAATATTTTTATTGAAGTGAAATTGCTGTAGAATAACAGAGACCACCACAGCGGCTGAGCTCAGTAACAAATGAAAAGCCTCTGTGATATTTTACCTTTGAGAGGCCTAACATGGTTGGGATGGAGCAGCTGAACAGTGTGTGTGTGTGTGTGTTTAACACTTCAGAATATTCTGAAATGAGTCTAACATCCTTGTTCAGTTTTCAGGTTACAAAGAACATTAATAACATCTTCTGTGGCCATCTTTTAGTAGTGCCGGTTAATATCCTTTCCCAAAACATTCCTCTCACAGTGCTGGGTATAATTTTTCCCATTCAGAACACATAAGGAAAGGGTTTAGTAATAAACTGTAAGAATTTCAAAGTAGTGAAGCATAGTTGGGTGTGGTGGCACACGCCTGTAGTCCCAGCACTTGGGAGGCTGAGGCAGGAAGATCGCTAGAGTTTGAGGCCAGCTTAGGCTACATAGTGAGTTCATGGCCAGCCTGAACTATATAGCAACACCCTGTCTCAACAAACAAACAGTGAAGCATAGACCAGGCATACAGACAGCATCCACACTGCTAGAGTTTCAGCCAAGTTCCAGAAGCAAAGAATGCACTAAGAGAAGGGGTAGGGTACCCAAGCAGAGTATCTGAACTGACAGATCATTTGTGTCTCAACCTCATCTTAATGCCTTGTATTTGTGTTACATAGTAAGGTGAAATACTTTAAGGGAAAATAAAGCTCCTGAAAGGTTATAAGATCAGTCAGAGAAGAAAGAAAATAAATAACGAATTTTTATAATCAATATATTGAGCAATGATAAAAACTGACCATACCACTATTCTTACTACTTAAAGATTTGAAAGCTAACTCTTCTAAAGTTTTTCAAGGAAAAGAAATAACCAAAAAGATAGGAGATGAAATTCCTACATTAAAAAACCTACACATAGTTAATGTTTTTTCAGTTTGTTTAAAATTAGAAGCTTATTCAATATAGAATAGATTTGTGGGTGTTGGTAAAAATCTTCAAGATTTTAAATTATTTTCAATCAAATGTGATTTAAGAAAACAGCACAACTAATTTTAAAAAAAATTGACAATGCTGTTTTACATTTAGTATTCCTCCAAAGAAAACCAGAAAACTGAATTCTTCTACCAGAGTAACTGATAGGTCACTTATTCCTACAGGAATCATTTGTAAGAATCTAAAAATCTCATAGGGGATGAAATGGGATTATAAGTATATATATATATTTTAGGATCTTAAATATTTTAACAGGCTCATGGCCATCTTCAAAAGGATATAACGTTGGCTAATGTTATATTCACAAATTTGCAGCTTTCAAATTTGCAACTGCAAGACTGATACACATTTTGCAAGGATCTGTCTGATGTGTACAACAAACATTGGAATTAAGGCTTCTACAATACTGGTATGTGGTCAAGTCTATGGCTGTGCAATGCTGGACTTCCGCAAAGCATCTCCAGCTTCCACTGTTACCCAACTTGTAAACCAGAAGATGTGCTGATGTAGGTGGATAGCAGCTCCAAGGTATGATTATCCCACTGGAAGACTTGGTTGTAAAAAGATTCTGAAGTAAGAGTTGGCAATAAAACAACTGAGGGAGTGCCTCAGATCATATAGAGGGGAAAAGTGATTTGCACCACTGACAGAGATAAGCTAAGGGGGGAAAAAAGCCAATAGCTGGTCTTCAGCTCAAAATTTTCAGATTTACAAAAACTTTAGAACTACAAGCCTATGGTTCTAATATTTCAGCGTGCAAAAGTCACCCACAGGAAACTTGTGAAAATGCAGATACCTGGGCCCTACCCAGATATTCTTTTTTTTTGCTGTACTAGGGATCGAACTCAGGACCTTGCACTTGCAAGGCAGGTGCGGTGCCACTGAGCTAAATACCCGGGCCCCTACCCAGATATTCTAATTGACAGGCCCCTCCTTGAGCAAGACCCCCACCCAATTGAGAGAGGAAAAAACCCCAACAGATGCATTGCCTGTATGAACAGTGATGACAGGACGCCAGCTACTACCTCTTTCATTCACACTTGCAAGGAGACTGATTCTCTGAAAAACCACAAGGCACCCGCTGTACCTTGCTGTACCTGCCATCACCCTGCTACCCTCACCCCGTCCTATTCACTAGCCTCAAGACTGTCACCCGAGACCCCCAAATTTTTCACCCTCTGAGCTGACACCTCTTCCCCTACTTAAACTCCCTGATATAAACTGCACGTGTGCCCTCCTTCCTATGTCAATGACCTTTTTGCTCTTGGCCCATCTGCACCCAGGTGGCAATAAACTCATTGCATGTTGCTTAGATATTGCCTGCCTCGGTGGTCTCATTCGTGCTCCAGTCGAGCCTTACACTAATACAGGTAATGCAAATGGTCCAAGAAGCTTGCTTTTTAAAAATTTTATTTTATTTATTTAATTTTTTTTCCCATTAAGTTTATTGGTACATTTTAGGTATAAAATACAGTTACATTCATCATTGAGATCCTGTACCTTTACATGAATATCTTGGTTCTTTTTTTTTTCCCCTTCCCCTCCCCACCCTTCCCTATTTGCAAAGACTTTGTTTCCATTTTTTTCCTTTTCTCATATTTTTTCTTTTCCCTTTTTTCCTTTCCCCAACCC